AAAGTTCGAAAGTCATCATTGTTAGTAAGTTTAAAACTAAGACAGTAATTTTAATTTAATTAAGACAGCAACAGTTCAAAAAATTGATTCAATTAAGACAGTAACATGTCAAGTTTAAGACAGTAGCAGTTCAAGTTTGATTTAATGAAGACATTAAAGTTTACACAATAACAGTTCAAAATTAAGACAAATTTTGATTTAATCAAGACAGTATCAGTTTAGAAAATTGATTCAATTGAGACAGTAAAGTGTAGACAGTAACAGTTCAAAATTAAAACAGTAGTTTTGAATTAATTAAGGCAGTAACAGTTTCAAAATTGATTTAATTGATAAGAGTACCAGTTCAAAAAATTGATTTAATTGAGACAGTAACAGGTCAAATTTAAGACAGGTAAAAAATTAATTTTTTACTTATCAATATTTAAGGATAGATGATTGCTGAATATTTTTCTTGAGTCATTTTACAGTGAAGTGGCAGTGCTTGAGGTGGGGCGGCAGCATGGTTGGGCTGGAGCAATAGCAGCAGGGAGGTGGGCAGCAGCGGCAGCACGGCGGGGAAGCATCCATGAGGTCCATCACAACGTGTGGAAACCATATCAAGGTTTAACTCATTTCTTGGAGTCCAAAAGACACGTTGCAATCCTGGCCCGATATGCTTGTACTGTTTCAAAAGGTATGTCCTCAGGTATCACTTTGTCATTCAATATCATCTCGATGATGTAAAGAACAATGATTCCACAGTCCTCCCTGCATGTGTTTTGTAGATAATGTTATCTTTTAAGATAATTGATTAAATAATGGTTTTCATGTAACAAATATGCTCATTTACTTACGAACAGCTTTTTTGCTGAGGACTATCTTCTTTTACAATCAACTGGAATGGGTCCTTATCCCTTGTCTTCCCTTCTTTTTCCAGCAGCTCTTGCCTCCTTTTATGGACATAGTCTTTCTGCTCCAATTTAATTTGATGTAACATGATTTTTTATATATTATAAAGTAACATGATTTTTTTGTTTTGGAAAGGACAGTTACATACCACCAGTTCTGCATCCTTCACAAAGTTGGCTTCACTCTTGCTTTTGAGCCAAGAGTTGTAGAATGTCCATGTCCTGGCTTCCACATCGAAGACAAGTATCGTCCAGTGAAAAGGAGAGGCTTCGATATTTCCTCCCGCCGAATTCATAGGAAATATCAGGACCGATGCTTCTAACCCGTCCTTCAGCTCTTGCTGCAGCTGTGGGTTTGCCTCGCCCCTATGGCCTTCGCGAACTATATGTGTCTGAAAGAATAATAATTTTTGTTATCTTGAGTGATACTTCATTAGTTTTGTCTTTTCATACAATTTTAATAACTTACCCAGATCAAGCTGTCATGTATGATTGGTTTTCTTGGTGCTGATACCCCTTTTATTTTTCTCTCTTCTAACAGGAGAAAGCAAAATGCATCGATGGCCTGCACAGGTGTATGTAAATTATCCATGCATATTCCATTGAAGTAACAAACAGGTTTAAGTAATGATACACTCACATTATTTGAGATTGACTTTTCATGTAGGGCGTCTAAAATGTCATAAAAAAAAATGAATTTCATGCTCTTTTCTTCAACACATAAACAATCTCTGTAAAGGATCAAAATTAAGAGTACAAGTTCAAAAGTAATTGAGTAAAGACAATAACAGTTCAAAATTGATACAGTAACAGTTCAAAAGTCATTATTGGCGGTAAGTTCAAAATCAAGACAGTAATTTTGATTTAATTAAAACAATAACAGTTCAAATTTGATTTAATAAAGACATTAACAGCTCAAAGTTAAGATAGTAACAGCTCAAATTGGATTTATTTAAGACAGTAACAGTTCAAATTTAATTTAATTAATACAATAAAAGTTCAAAGTTTTGACAATAACAGCTCAAATTTAATTTAATTAATATAGTAACAGTTCAAATTAGACAGTCACAGTTCAAATTGATTTAGTTAAGATAGTAACAGTTCAAAAGTTATTATTGACAATAGTTCAAAATTAAGACAGTAATTTTAATACAGTAACAGTTTAAGGATTAGAGAGTAACAATTCAAATAAGACAGTAACAGTTTAAAGTTCAAATTGAATTTATTTAATACAGTAACAATTCAAATTGGATTCAATTAAGAAAGTAACAGTTGAGATTTGATACCCTGTTTTGAGCTCGGTAATCACGTTCAATAAATCTTTGTTCAAATGTTTGACTGGTTGACGTTCTTTATTCAGCTCTGGCAGCTCATTCTTTAAGTCTTCAACCTTTTTAGTTTCTTTTTTTCTCTTCCTTCCTTTTTCTTCCACCTTCACTATTTCCTTCCTCTTCTTTATTTTTCTGGTTTCAAGGACTTCCATTGATTGCTCTTCTTCAGCTTCCTTTCCCTTTTTTAACTGTTGAAGAGTTATTATTGTGAGCTGGCTTTGCAAGTCCTCAATCCTTGCTTCCATTTTAGCACTCTCCTCTTCATGTGCTTGGTTGATTCCCACATATTCCCTTTGCAGCTCTGCAAGTTTTCTATTTTGGAAATCATTTTCTTTCTTAAGTCTTTTGACCTCTTTATCAGCATTTTTGAGTTGATCTTTAAATTTCTGATTTTCACATATCAGCTCATTCTCCTTGTTTAATGCTTCAGTGATTTCCATTTGCAGCTTTTCAAATTCTGCCTTTTGGAGCTGATCTTTAAATTTCTGATTTTCACATATCAGCTCATTCTCCTTGTTTAATGCTTCAGTGATTTCCATTTGCAGCTTTTCAATTTCTACATTTTGGAGATCCTTTTCTTCTTCTGCCTTTAGGAGTTGATCTTTCAATCTCTGATTTTCACACCTCAGCTCTCTTATCTCTTTTTCAGCAGAAAAAGCAGCCTCATCCACTTCTCCCTTTTCTTCTTCTTTTTCTTCTTGTTCTGCAGCCTCATCCACTGCTTCTTCCTTTTCTTCTTCTTCTTCTTCTTCTTCTTCTTCTTCTTCTTCTTCTTCTTCTTCTTCTTCTTCTTCTTCTTCTTCTTCTTCTTCTTCTTCTTCTTCTTCTTCTTCTTCTTCTTCTTCTTCTTCTTCTTCTTCTTCGTGTAGACGGTAACATTATTAATGATACAACAACAGATGAAATGGAAAAGGTAAATGATCAGATTGAGATATTAATATACTATACATTTACAATCAGAAAGTAACATTTCAGAACTCTGAAATTCTGACTTACACTGACGTCTATGAATGGTGTTTTTCTTAATTCTGCTTCCAGGCCCATTAGATTCCATTTTGCACACCTTGGTATTCTTCCTTCTTCAATTGGTTCAATGATTTTGGAGTGCTCACAATACCAATACTGCA